ATATTGAAAAATGGAAAAAAAAACATATAACATGGCTTCAAGAGGGTGACCGTCATGGATGTAACCCCTCTAAGATATACTCTACTGTGAACGAAGAACAACCCAACCAAACAATACAAAACTAAAATACAGACAATTCTAGAAACCAGATCAGCTTCAGGTCAGCTTGCATCGTAGAGGGGATCTACTGACAAAGTTTTAACTGTTCAAGTCAGATTTATGCCTTTGATCTTCTATACTCCTCTCTCCCTTGCACTCTGTTTAGTGACTACTTTCCTAGATAGGGGGGATGCTTAGGAGGCTTATCTCCTATGTAGTTCCACAAATGAATCTTGGGCTCCATCACCTTCTGCACATCAGATTCTCACAATTTAGGATCTGATACTGATCCCTCCTTTGACTTCGTATTATATGGATTCCAATCCTTCAGTGACTGATAATAGTATGTCTCTTCCATGTGGTCTTAGTTGGCATCTCTCTTAGATAGCTTCTTGTTTGAAAACAAGCCTTTAAGACCCCAGATGCTGTTTTATCTGATAGTCGGGCATCATCTAAATTCTTCTCCACATTTTGCTATAGCACTTGTATCTTCTGTGTTCCTTCCCTGAGGGTAAGTATCGAGTAGGACCATGATGTAAGAACTAATTGCTGCTATAGTAGAGCTAGGATTTAGTGAAAGCCCAAAACCTGTTCCTGGGTTTATGATTTTTCTTTTTTCCTCTTTTAATTTTCTGTAACTTGGAAGTTAATACCTATGTCATATCATATCACAATTCAATAATGTCAAACAGAATTGTGCATTTGCGTCCATAATCAGTCTCCAAACATATTTTTCCTTCCTGGACTCCTTGACATCATCTTCCTTTTATCTCCCTCACCCCTCTATATTCCCCCTCCCCACCAAAACCCTTCTTCTATTTGCTTTCCCTATATGCTCAGCGTTCCTGGGTTTCATGTATTGAAAAACAGAGAAACAAGTAACACACCTTCAAGAGGGTGATCCCCCAATGGTGATACACCTCAGAGATGCACCCTAATATGAACAAGCATAGGCAACATATAACAGATCGACCTTCACAGGATCACAGAAATAATATGTATCTTAATACCGCATGTAGGGTGTTGGTTTGCCCGCCAAGCAACAGTACACCGCTCTTGATACAGCTGTCTTCTGTTTTCTTAGACACCATGTATTGAACAGTTAAAGTCCTCAGGTTACAAGTGCACCTGAGGTAGAATCTCAAATTACCCCGTGGAGTTCCCACGTGGGGTCTGAAGAGCCAGGATTCAGTGTCCCAGGCCACCTTCACTGGCTGCACTTCCTCTAGGGCGGATGTATTTGTTAGGTTGGCACTCCCTGGTCCTTTCAGTTTTCTTCACCAGTCCCAGAATGCAATTGCATAGATTGTTCTTCCGTCTTCCTGATTCAGTGTCATCCGTACTGAAGACTACAGTATAGTCTTTGGTCTTCATCACTAAGATCCACCAAATCCTCTT